TTTCCATAACTCTCTAGAGAATACAGTATGATACATCTTAATTACAAAATGGAAATGCTATGACACCAAACCATTGTATTAATGTATTCAACATTACAGTACTGAATTCTACCATACAAAAGCATTCTTAATATACTGAGAAAAATGTCAATGACTACAGATTCTTTGGTTGACACATTGACTTATCAAATCTAAACTTGACATGCACTTGACAGTGTACTAATGCTGCCCCATAATAAAATTTAACTACCATAGTACTTAGTGAGAAGATAACATAAGCACAAGCAAAGGGGCAAGCTAAAACAGTTTCAAGGAACCCATTAACGTTCAAATTAGTAGAGATACGTGCTGTGCCCAACACTATTATATGGTGACTTTTGATGGTTGGAATGGAGTATGAGCTCACAGGCATCCACTTACATACACACATGCAGACACACAGGAAATCTTCACCAGAAAGCATTAATTAATTACCGGAAGTCAGTACATAAAAAAATCTTTATGCCCTCAACCACTTTCACAAAGTCATAACTCTGTGGAGACGAGTAAGCCTAGTAACGGGCCTTCTTGTGACTAATGTCTTGGGTCTGTATTGACAACTGGCCTAATTTGGAATCACAGCATAATCAATTAACTGATTCTGTATATATTTAGTTTGCTGATGTCGAGACAATGTAACGGGTAAACAATGCAGTGTACTCATAATTAGTCTGGTACAGATCCTTTACAAGCCTCATTATTTAGATCTGTACTCACAGTTAATCTAGTAAAAAGGCTTTACATTACAGTACTAATAAATGGTACTTATTATCACTTGTCTTACCATGTATAGTAACCAAAACCTCCAGTATTGTTAGTGAAGAGTGAGACTCTGTCTTATATGAACATTTCACTTACCTAAATATCAATTAGTGGGGCTACATCAATACAGTATTTTTTTTTTACTGAATATATATTCGACCTTCTAGTGACATCTAAGCATAAAACATCCAATTTTTCATATAGTAATCTACAATGATACAATGGTGGACAATGGCTTTGGTATTTAAAGTACCACAGTGATATATACCGTATAGGTTGATGCTACATAAAAACATCACAAGGGAAAAACTGGCTACAGATGGTCCTAGTCATATCATCAACACACTTAGATATTCTCAATATCATTCAGATTTATGGAAAATTATTATGGCTACCAGGAAGCCACATGTACTTCAAAGTTAAACCTAAACTCACTCAACATACATCACATGAATGACCTTCAGGCTTTAATTATACAGTGCAGTCTCTCCTCGACTTACAACAACCCGGACATGCGACGGCCATGGTCGTATAAAATATTTTTCACATTACGTATTTTCGAGTCCCGACGTTAAGTGATCGCGCTGTGTACTGACAAAATTTTCGTTTGTAATATCCCTTAAAATGGCTGGCAAGCATAAAAGTGAGAGCTCTCGTGGTGCTGAGAAGAAAAAGAGACACCCATTTTAGAATTTTTATGTACGGTATTATTTTTGCCTTTTTGACCTGGTCGTCGGGATGGAACCCCGTCGTAAGTCGAGGAGAGACTGTATCTGATAATGAGACATATTGTTGTACTGCCCGAAGAGTAATAAAAATTTTATGCATTAATTCCTTTATATAAGACCTGAATATATTTGAAAAGTCAAGAGAAAGCCCTGTGTGGAAAATATTTATGGATATTTCACAAACAGGAGTTATGGACCACCTCTCACTCCACCCAGGATATAAAAAATGTCAGTAATGAAATATCAATACTGTACTGTACAATATTTCTCAATATCTGACAACTGTGCAGTTTATCAATATGTTTAGTCATATAAATTATCAAAATACAAATGTTCAAAAAGGAAATAATGTGACTGCCAAATAAAGAGTTTTGATATAAAGAAACAAATTAAAACACTGGGACTCATGTTCTGTTCCATATACAAAAGATTATTCATAGCTTATAATGTTGACCACACATCATCACTCTATACCCCAGCTCTACTTAATCTACAACAATATCACACTTACTTCAAATTACCAAATAAAACATTTTAAAGATTTCAAATATTCAATTTCCTAATTGTAATGACTGAATTTTAGATCCTATATATAACACACTCAAGAGTTAACAATGACTAGTGCAAATGTTACCATCTTATGCTTAACATTTGTTAAGTCCCAGTTGTAATTTTTAGGATTTTAAGGCACACAACAGCATGCTCCTGACTCATTGAACAAACTCAGGTTGAGGGAGCATTTCAAACTTAAATCCCCCTCATTGATAAGGTAAATTGTAGTCCGGAAATGCATATACATACTGTACATAACTACAGTATTACTGCACTAAGCTTCGAAATACCGTAATCTATTTTCTCAGCTAATATTGAAATTCAGGTCTAAAAGCTTTTTAAATAAATAATATTCCTTATACAGTACAAGGTACAGTATTACAGAACTGCAGATATTCATTTACCATGATCCTAATGAGAGGTGTTCGCTATAACGAGTGTATGGTGGTGAGTGTGGAGTGGTGAGGTGCACAAAGCTTCCTTTATAAGTCATCATTGGTCCCCTCTGACTGCTCTTCATAATGTACTGTATCTCACAAAAAAAAATATATACATACAAATTTTTCTATGAATAAATAGTTTATCAGTATAATAAATATAACTTTTAAATAATACAATAATAAACTTTTACAGCATATCACATCTCTTACAAAAAGTCAGGTTTGTATATGAGCCTACAGGGCACCATAACAAATGTAGCTTCTGTCACTGCAATCCATATCATTCACTCAATGAAATATACAACATCAAAAAACAAATTTGCTTAACTGTACAACCTTATTCTGGCACTGTGATCAAACAATATCAGTTTGCTTCATTTTTATCTTTTATTTGTGACAACATATCTTTTTTAACAAAGATGAAGTCATTAGCAAGCCAACCTGGATGAGTCACCTGAGAGAGAACACTATAACCTTGATCTTCCATATATTTGCGTAAGACGTCCTTTCCCTCGCCTCCATGGATAAATTCTACTGACAGTGCCTGAAAGAAGATGTCATATATTTTTCCTCTTTTTAAGTGGAAATTGGAAACAAAACTGAATTCTTTGCATCTCTTCTTTTGAATGTTCACAACCATCAAGTGCCAGGTATGTATGGACTCTTGAATGAACTTGAACATGTGTCAGTCTTGGTTACGTCTGGACCTGGTGATGCCATACCATTCTCCAGCAGGTTATTCCAAGAGTTCACAATTGTTACTCCAAAAATGCTCGATCAGAAAAAAGAAGTCATAAATAACTTCTTTGGTGTAAGAGTTGTGAGCTTTTGGAATAACCTGCTAGAGAATGTTGCAACAGCACTGTGTGAGTTTTCCTTTTAGTCCAGACTTGACCAACACTGGTACATGTTCAGGTACAGTCCCCTTCACTAATGCCTTTACAAGGGCGCATCGGGTTTTGTGCAGTGTGACAACGCTGTGTTTGTTTACATTTGACAGATGGAAACTCGCAATAGTAAACATACTATGGAATCAAATTAAATCAATATTAAAAAAAAAAGCTCAAAGATAATGATTTGTGGAATGTTTATGTGACGAGCCTCTGTAAACGCACTAGCAACGGGGACTGTACCTGCCAACAGTGTGTAAGAGAGAAATGACTGACCATTCAACCAGCTAGTGACAAGTGGCTTAGAGGATAAATTATGGAAATAAAAAATAAACTTAGTACAGTACAGTACTAAATCTCTGTATTCTATGGAGATGGCAGCCATGCTATCATCAAAAACTGGTTTCAATTAACAAATGCCTACATGTGCTAGATTTGATAACAAAAATCTTTTAGCAATGTTTTTAAAATGATTCCCTGAAATTGTTTTTTTTCCAAATCTCACAAAGGTATTTAAACTACTGTACTATCACCTCAAAAATATATTTCTACCAGAATTGGCCTTCATATCTAATTAAAAATAAATACACTAAAAAAAATCATCAGTAACTTCTTTAAAAAAATAAAAATAGTGGGTTTCACACCTTGAAATTTAAGAAAAATATACTGTCTAACACATTTTGTTAACAGAAATATACAGTACAGTAGTGAATGTTCCATTCAAGGATAAAACTACCAAAAAACAGTAACTATTACATATTACAATATTATGAAGTTCATCCAACCTTAAGTTTCATATTCACACAGGACAGTTTATTTCTGACGATCTGGGAAGGTAACACAGACCAGCCAGCATGACGATCTAGGAAGGTAACACAGACTAGCCAACATGACGATCTAGAAAGGTAACACAGACCAGCCAACATGACGATCTAGAAAGGTAACACAGACCAGCCAACATGACGATCTAGGAAGGTAACACAGACTAGCCAACATGACGATCTAGAAAGGTAACACAGACCAGCCAACATGACGATCTGGGAAGGTAACACAGACCAGCCAACATGACGATCTAGGAAGGTAACACAGACCAGCCAACATGACGATCTAGGAAGGTAACACAGACCAGCCAACATGACGATCTAGGAAGGTAACACAGACCAGCCAACATGACGATCTAGAAAGGTAACACAGACCAGCCAACATGACGAAGGTAACACAGACCAGCCAACATGACGATCTGGGAAGGTAACACAGACCAGCCAACATGACGATCTAGAAGGTAACACAGACCAGCCAACATGACGATCTGGGAAGGTAACACAGACCAGCCAACATGACGATCTAGAAAGGTAACACAGACCAGCCAACATGACGATCTAGGAAGGTAACACAGACCAGCCAACATGACGATCTGGGAAGGTAACACAGACCAGCCAACATGACGATCTGGGAAGGTAACACAGACCAGCCAACATGACGATCTAGAAAGGTAACACAGACCAGCCAACATGACGATCTAGGAAGGTAACACAGACCAGCCAACATGACGATCTAGAAAGGTAACACAGACCAGCCAACATGACGATCTAGGAAGGTAACATGACGAGACACAGACCAACATGACGATCTGGGAAGGAGTACAGACCAGCCAACATGACGATCTAGAAAGGTAACACAGACCAGCCAACATGACGATCTGGGAAGCACAGACCAGCCAACATGACGATCTAGAGACCAGCCAACATGACGATCTAGGAAGGTAACACAGACCAGCCAACATGACGATCTAGGAAGGTAACAGACCAGCCAACATGACGATCTAGGAAGGTAACAGACCAGCCAACATGACGATCTGGGAAGGTAACACAGACCAGCCAACATGACGATCTAGGAAGGTAACACAGACCAGCCAACATTCTAGGAAGGTGCCAACATGACGATCTGGGAAGGTACATGACGATCTGGGAAGGTAACACAGACCAGCCACTTACAGTGTTAGGATATGGATGTGTGCTTAGACACCCGTTGACAGCCCAGGCCTTCCGGTTTTTCTTTAGCACCAAGTCAAAGTTCTTGGGATCCCCTTCAATGAGTACCCCATGCCAGCCAAACCGCTTCTCAAAGACGAGGGTGTTGGAGCGAGTCTCACCATCGAGGGCACCGCACTCCACAAAGAACCCGCCCTTCTGCAGGACACAACCAGGGCAAGATTGACAGGATGTTTACATGCAAAACAGTGAGTAGGGTATAGTATATTATTGAATAAGTTTTGGTTAAGAAAGGTGGTGGTGGCCAAGTGGATAAAACGTTCAACTCCTGTCATAAGAGTTGCTTATTTGATTCCAGGGCACTTCCAGTCCACTCATTTCTAAAAAGGTATCTAACCTTATAGTTTAGGAAGTGAAGAAGGTTGAGTACATTGCCTACTTGTGGACTAAAGGCCTAATATAAAGTTTAATGTCTCAACATTGCCCCTTACAGACAGTCACACCTATGAGACCCACTTTCACTGCTGATAACCCTGAAACATGAGAATGCCTGAATGTCTTTCAGTCAATATAATTCCTTTTACAGTTATTTTTGTTTTTATAATCAAGGGTAAATTATTGAAAGTCAATAATAAATTACATCCACAATTTTAAAGTTTGATAATGTAACATATTTTCAGGCCAAAAAAATTAAGAAACACACCACCACTTTAAAAGTTCAATGATCAATTTGATCATTGAAGAAGGAAACTCTCAGGTCAGATGTGCCAACTTTAATTTAACCAGTTAAAATAAACCATACAGGTATTTTACAATACAGTTAAGTACGGTACAGTATTAAACTCCATTCTTTAAAAAATTATTGTAGTGTACTGAAATATTTACCTAAATTAAAAACAGCTATCCAAATAATGTTAATAAACTGCTGTATGTATAGTGCAATAATCTCATATTTTCATAAAAAATCAAATAAATAAGATACTGTACTGTATTAATAATGGTGTGTCAACTCCCAGGTTGGATAAATCAGGCCTGGGTATGATGAGGCAGTAGGCATAGGCTCAGTGACCCTTAAGGTTTAGAGTACCCTCGTTACTGCCAGGCTCAGTTGAAAATAAAACAAAAAAATTGTCATTCAAGACATTCTACACAATGAGCACTGCAATTGGAGCAGTGAACTCATAAAGTCACAAGATTACTAAGGAGAAGAGACTACAGTATTGTACTGTACTCTTACCAGCAAAATTGAAAAAAAATGCCAAAATTTTGTCCCAGCAGAAAAATAGTTACCAAAAGTCAGGAAAATCACATAGAAGCACGTGGAGAAATAGGAAAAAATACAGTACTGCTGTATATTGATAGTTGTTAGTGATGTCCGTGATTCACATACTAGAGGAAGAACTGATAATGGAGTGAAGGAACACTACACAGTGGTACACAAAGAGTGAAAATTGATGATTAAGTGTCCAAAAAAAAAAAATGCACATTGGTCTGGATGTCATCTGACCCATGATGTCTTAACCCAGGTACTAGAGACTCACCTGGCCATTATATTAGGAACTAGAGACTCACCTGGCAATTAGATTAGGTACTAGAGACTCACCTGGCAATTAGATTAGGTACTAGAGACTAACCTGGCCATTATATTAGGAACTAGAGACTCACCTGGCAATTAGATTAGGTACTAGAGACTCACCTGGCAATTAGATTAGGTACTAGAGACTCACCTGGCCATTATATTAGGAACTAGAGACTCACCTGGCAATTAGATTAGGTACTAGAGACTCACCTGGCCATTAGATTAGGTACTAGAGACTCACCTGGCCACTAGATTAGGTACTGAGACTCACATGGCCACTAGATTAGGTACTAGAGACTCACCTGGCCACTAGATTAGGTACTAGAGACACCTGGCCACTAGATTAGGTACTAGAGACTCACCTGGCCACTAGATTAGGTACTAGAGACTCCTGGCCACTAGATTAGTACTAGAGACTCACATGACCACTAGATTAGGTACTAGAGACTAACCTGGCCACTAGATTAGGTCCTAGACTCACCTGGCCACCTAGTTAGGACCTCACCTTCTAGATTAGGTCCTAGTCCTAGACTCACCTGGCCACTAGATTAGGTACTAGAGACTCACCTGGCCACTAGATTAGGTCCTAGACTCACCTGGCCACTAGATTAGGTACTAGAGACTCACCTGGCCACTAGATTAGGTCCTAGACTCACCTGGCCACTAGATTAGGTACTGGAGACTCACCTGGCCACTAGATTAGGTCCTAGACTCACCTGGCAACTAGATTAGGTACTAGAGACTCACCTGTTCTCCGAAAATATTACGAATCTCTTTGGACTGGCCCATGGAAGGGTCATCGTTGGTGCTGGCCAGGCTGTAAGGCTGGTCAGAGGGCGGAAATAAATGCTTGGCCCGGATCCTCTGAAACAATAAAATTTTCCCTGAAATTCATAACAAGGATCTATTAGGTGTCGTGTTTACTATGTTCTGGATTGTTGTAAACCTCAAGATGATTTTGTAGTGGATTTCTCCTTTACAAACGCTGTTTGTCGCTGAGTAGCCGACCCCACGAATTCCACAGTGTGTGCCTCGTGGTCTAGGTCAACCAGCGCCGCCATACATCACGCAGCGGGGGTCAACTACTAAGCCACGCCTACCCCCCGCTATTTAAGACCTGACCTCGTGGTGACCTCTAGAAAGCATCCTCTCCCAGCAAGTGCGGACCCCAGTTCGGGGGGCGCGCCACTCCGAAGCTGACCACGTCCAAGAGTGGGGGCTGGTGGTAAGCGTCCACTGATCGGGGGTCCGCTCACACTTGCAACCTGCAGTATCCCTCCAATCTGCAGGTGGGACCACCTCCAATCCCAATCCGGTCTGGCTGCTCCTGGAGCTCCAGCCGGAACCACCAAACGGGCCGCCTATAGGCAAAGGCCCGTGTCGGACTACGGTCCGACAATCTCAACAACAACAACAACGGTGACCTCTCTCTTTCTACCTCCACCAACCAGCCAGCAACACCTCCTCCTCCGCCTGCCTGGCGGTCCTCGCTCCCGCCGGCGAGCATGGCGACCCACAAGCTGTCCTTCTCTGAGCATCCTCACCAACCAGCTCTCTCTACATCACGCTTGTAACCATGCTGCCTTCCCAGCACCATGCTGCATTGTACATCCAATACAACATGTATACAGAGAGCACATTGTGAGTTTCCTTTCTCCATCCCATCCTGAGTGTGAACACAAACATCCTCAAAAACCCCACAAATGGTGACTCCCGGAGATTCGCACTCACACAGGATGGAGGAGAAACTGATCACGCTCCCAGTCTTCAAGCAACATGGAAGACTGGCTTATCCACACAGAAGCAGCTCTCATCGGCTTTACAACTACTGTCTCTACACCGCAGGTTAGACACCCTAGGGCAGCACTTTTTCTCTAAGCAGACACCAGCTCCTTTTCCTGCCCCCAAGCACCACGTCCTACCAACCCCAGCACACCCGTCCTGCCTCAGACGCCGACCCCGGCCCAGCAGTACCCCCTGCCGCTTCTCCTGACGCGGCCCCTGTTCCTGAGTGTGGATCCACACACCCCTCTTTTCTCCCTCAGGTACTCCCTGCTAATGTCCTGCACCCTGCTGCTGTCGTGGACCCAGCTGCTGTCACAAGCCCTAACCCGCTTTTGCTGACGCAGCCCCTGCTCCTGACCCAGGCCCACACACCCCAGCAGGCGCATCTGACGACTCTGTACCTGCCGTGAGGGAAGCACAACATTCATCGCCTCCACACACCCTTTTTCTCCCTCTCTTCTCCCACAGATAGTGTGTATCTAGACAGTTGTCTCCAGCCACCGGCTCATCCACGCCATCGCCGTTATGGCTCACATGAGGCACGCACCGCCCGTTCTGCCTAACATGTGCTATGCAACCCTGCAGACAACAAGTCTCCTACACCACCTGAAGGGAAGGAGGGAGTATTGTAGTGGATTTCTCCCCTACAAACGCTGTTTGTCGCTTAGTAGCCGACCCCACGAATTCCAGTGTGCCTCGTGGTCTAGGTCAACCAGCGCCGACATACATCACGGAGCGGGGGTCAACTACTAAGCCACGTCTACCCCCCGCTATTTAAGACCTGACCTCGTGGTGACCTCTCTCTTTCTACCTCCACCAACCAGCCAGCAACACCTCCTCCTCCTCCGCCTGCCTGGCGGTCCTCGCTCCCGCCGGTGAGCATGGCGACCCACAAGCTATCCTTCTCTGAGCATCCTCACCAACCAGCTCTCTCTACATCACGCTTGTAACCATGCTGCCTTCCCAGCACCAAGCTGCATTGTACATCCAATACAACATGTATACAGAGAGCACATTGTGAGTTTCCTTTCTCCACCCCATCCTGAGTGTGAACCAAACATCTCATCCCCACAGTTTCATTGAGTTGCCATTTCATAAATACTGTTTAATTGTATATGTGAGAAAACCATTAGGGTAAAAGGGATGACTAAAATAAATTGTGACCATATGATTTACATTTTGTCATGACCTTAATATCTAATGTTATTAAATAATTAATTTAATTATCCGTTAATGTCAACAGCTGCTATTAATAGATATGTGCAGTATTTTGCTTGAGGGAAATAAAAACGAAATTGTGTTAGTGAAGTGATAGTGTGTTTGTATGTTACTGTAGTGGAAGTGTAATTGTGTAAGTATAGTGGAAGTGTGTGTGTTGTTTATGTAGTACTAGCAGAGGCAAACATATACGCTCGTTCACAGACACACACACACACACACACACACGTGTGTGTGTGTGTGTTGTGCTTCGTAACCTTTTTCTTGCCATTTCATCACTTATCAGCTTAATAACCGAAAGGGCGGTTGGCCAAACACTATGAAGAGGTGCAGAGAGATCTCTGTGAGCCTCAAGAATGGTCGAGGAAACGGCTGCAAAGATTCAAAGTTTCGAAGTGCAAAAGGATGCACCTGGGACGTACCAACAGTAAGGAAGCGTGTCACATGTCCCAACAGGACGAAGAAATTACATTAATTGAGACCGAATGTGAGAATGACCTGGGAGTGTATGTCAACAATGAACTTAAGTTCTCGGGCCATTGTGAGAAGAAGGTGAATCAGGCAACAAAACTAGTAGGTCTTGTAAGAAGATCGTTTAGATATCTTGATGATCCATCGCTCGTCAAGATCTTCAAGATTGAGGTGCTTCTCCGTCTGGATTGCTGTCACCCTCTCTGGTCCTTGAGGTATGCTAGAAACTGTCAAGTTATTGAAAATGTGCAAAGGAGGGCCACCGGACTGGTGCCTACTCTACTGAACCTCAGTTACCCAGAGAGATTAGAACGCCTGCAACTACCTAGCTTATACTACAGACGGGCGAGGGGCGAGCTAATCGAAGTGTATAACCATCTCAGGAGGACACTACTGGTCTAACGTACATACCTGGCGCTGGCGGACGTCTGCCCCACAAGGGGTCACAGCTCAAGGTTGAAGAAGCCACAAGTCCAGAAAACTGGGAGGGCAAACTTTTGGAACAACCGACCAACCAGCCAGAGAGTCTTGTGACAGCACCTAGTGTGAGCTCATTCAAGACCAGACTTGACCAATACTGGAGCAGGTTTCGATATATTCAGGAGCCAGAGCATGCCCAGTACTTGCCAACAGTGCGAACAGAGTCAGTGACCGACCGCCCAAGCGGCTAACAAGCCGATGCGTGGCGAAGATAAAAGTAAAAGTATGTTCTTCTCGATCACCTGAAGATTCGTCCTCCTTCCCCTGTTTATTTAACGTGAAGACTATCCACCCTAACGCTACCTGAGGGGGTTAGGTCAGGCTAGGCTAGATTAGGTTAAGTTTGGTTAGGTAGTATTAAATTAGGTGGTTACCTTAGATTAGATTTACTTAATTTGTGTAAGGTTAGGTTAGATTAAGATAGGTTCTATAAGGCTAAATTAGTATTATGTTTGGTTAGGTTAGGTTAGGTGAACATTATGGTTAATTAATCTTCAAGTGAAATGAGCTGGAGGGGCGGGACCAATGTTCAGGTGATCCGTCCTTCCTACACCTTTGTAAAGTACAGTACAGTATGTACCTTGCGGTGAGGCAAATTATGTTTATACTCTACTATACGTGTCCTCTTCAGCTGAGGTGAAGTGATATGTTACTGTTTACAACACACACATACGGGCTCAGTGTGCGTGTGTTGTCATAAACAGTAGGCTATGGTGCCGCCAGAATGAGCCTTAAAGAGGATGTACCACAGCTGCCCATGATCCCCACGTCTTCATCCCCGACAAACAAAATTTTCTAACAATACAAGAAATAAGTGAGGAAAAAATTACTGTAACATAGAAGTAAATTTCTATGTGGTAAAATGTGATTTCCAGAGGAGAATTTGTTGTTGTTGCTGTCTAAAGATGTTCCAACGGCGAGAGTCTGACTGTTGGTGTTATTTACTTGTTGATTCATAACTTATGAGCTTATTGTTCCTTATTACGACCTTCATTGTCCAGTGTTAATGCAGGAGAAAACCTGCCATGTTTGGTAATGTCACACTGGATAACACCCTTTTCACATCAGATTCCAGGGTCGAGGATCGAACCCAGGACAAAATCAAAGAAAAACGCGCGTTATCGTGTGCACAGCACCAGTAAAAAGCCCCTGACAGGTGTGTTGGTGTGTGGTGACAGGTGTATGGTGGTATATAGTGACGAGTGTGTGGTAGGTGTATGGTGGTAGGTGTGTGGTGGTTGTCTGGTGATAGGTGTGTGGTGGCAGGTGTTGTTGGTGGAAACAGGTGTATGGTGGTACGTGTGTCGTATCAGGTGTGTGGCTGTAGGTGTATGAGAGAATGGAGTGTGGTGACAGGTGTGTGGGTACAACGTCCCGCCCTACCTGGATAAGGCGGGGATCGTTCTGGTCGAGGGAGACAGGAGCCTTCATGATGCGATCGAGGGGAACCACCACATCCTCAGGACCTGGGTACTTAGCCGAGGCTGCCAAGGGCGCTGCAACAAGTAATAAACGAGCGTTAATAACACAAAAAAGTAGCTCGTTACTAACAATGGAGAGAGCTCGTTGGGGTAACAGACAAAAATAAAAAATAAACTTATGTATTAGATAAAAACCAAAACGTCTTGACGAGTAGTGTTTTGACGATAACATCTCTCAGCTGTATGTCAAGTATCAGTGTAGAAAGATTAACAGTGCATTTCGACAACCACATAACAAGACACAACTATCTATATTTCCTGGACTCGGGCATCACCATCACCTACTTCAGTTGTCTTCCTATATTTCAGCTTTACTACGGACTTCCCCAAACCTGAGGGGACGAATTCTCAAAATGATTACGCTAAAATTTAACCTTAAACTAATGACAGGGTATAAACGTATATTGGTCATTAGCTGATCGTGTGGAGCCTGAAAGATAACATGTGTTTTCAAAAACAAGTTATTAGTGCATTGTAATATGTATGTGTGTGTGTGTGTGTGTGTGTGTGTGTGTGTGTGTGTGTGATAAAAACTGGATAACACAATAGAACATCAAACACTTGTGCTGCATTCTTATTTAGGGGTGCTGACACGCAGGTGCTACCTTTGTAAACATACTACACACACACACACACCTGGTGCAATACCGCCAACATAACACAGACACACACATCTGGTGCAGTGAACTCACATAACACATACAGTGATATGAACACACACACACACTCCACCTTCCAGCGTTGCGAGGTTACGACAAAACACATCGTTATGTTTATAGCTTACAAGACGTGTCATGCAAACATCAGCTGTATTTGAAAGCAATTGTACACTATACCACAATTGCTGACGGTGTGCTGTACTTAAGTTTTTACCCCTGAATACGATGACTTTTCGTCTAGAGTACGTTAACTTAATTCCTAGAGTGCAATGAACTAATCCCCTGAGTACAATAATATCCCTTTCAGTTCGATGACTTAATCTCTTGTGTGCTATGACATCCCAGTTAGTATGATGACTTTACGCGAAGGTTTTAGTCACTGGAGTTATTTTCCATACATATTGTTGTTATTACACTATTACGCCATTCAAGAACTTACAAGTACATATTATTAAGAAAACTAGGTAGAGTACTGGAATAATAGAAAAGGCAGATATTTCATTTATCAAATTATCGGTCAAAGATAACAGGTCGAGTCAGGCGATGTCCGTGTCTGTCGCCCGCCTTGGCTCAGGCGCTGCTAGTGTTAGTTATAACATTTTTACTGCGCTTCAACAACTAAGTCTATGTGTGTTGGTAGAAGTTCCCCAACACCCGGAGTGGATAGGAACGGTCGATAGTGTTTTCGCAGCCGTGTCGTAACCCACCACAGGGAAGAGCGGCGCTAGTGCTGGAGTTTATAATTTATGTGGTAGCTGACTGACAAGCAAGTGGTTGATGATGGTGGAAGGTGAGAGAGCGTCTAATGGCGGCTGTCAGAATTTTTGGACATGTCACCTGAGAAGGGAAGCTGTAGCAAGCGGCATCAAAGATCTGTGGATTCACTGACAACTGGTGTTGGACTTGAAAATAAAAACTAGTATGAAACAACTTTGCATAACGGGATCACAACAGTCAAGACTAATTTGAAGAGATGCCGCTCTTCCCTGTGGTGGGTTACGACACGGCTGCGTAAACATTATCGACCGTTCCTATCCACTCCGGGTGTTGGGGAACTTCTACCAACACACATAGACTTAGTTGTTGAAGCGCAGTAAAAATGTTATAACTAACACTAGCAGCGCCTGAGCCAAGGCGGGCGACAGACACGGACATCGCCTGACTCGACCTGTTATCTTTGACCGATAATTTGATAAATGAAATATCTGCCTTTTCTATTATTCCAGTACTCTACCTAGTTTTCTTAATAATATGTACTTGTAAGTTCTTGAATGGTGTAATAGTGTAATAACAACAATATCATCATCTTAAGTAACAATATATACTACAAACGAAAAACGTGGAAATACTTTACAAATATAAACAGAAGATTTTTATTTAGCTAATTCTCGCAGTTTACAATATCTGGGCATGCATACTGTAGCAGAATCCTAAATACACAATCTCCGCCAAACGCACCCAAAACACACAAACACACGCACACACACGCGCACCCTACTTACCATTCAATACACTCCGCCTCACCGTGTCCTCCAAAAGTTCAATTTTGTTCTGAATCCCTGCTGCAAGAGTAACATTGGCATTATGAACAGTAATATATGTGTGTGTGAGACGAGCTATGTGAATGATTTACTTCTTAATTCTCCTAGTACTACTACTATTGTGAAAAGGATTAATAATAATAATAAGAAATAATAAGTAATAAAAAATAATAATAATAATAATAATAAATAACAAGTAATAATAATAATAATAATTATAATAATAATAATGATAATTATAAAAATAATGAGTGAAATCTCATTAAGCCACGAAGGATTCACGCCTTCGCTCACAATCATTCATTATTTCATCCAAAAGTTTTTTTATTCATTATATCATACTGTATGTAAATTTCAAGCCACTGCTAGAGTAATTACCCAGATAGAAGTAAATTAATTTGGAGCAGTAGTTGAAATTATACGTATAATTTTGAAGGTGGAATTTTTTTAACCAGGTTGACAAATTTGAGAACAATAGCATGGTCACCTTAGGATTTGTAATCGTAAACAAGTGTTCATCTCAGTTATATATGTATGTGTGTGCGGACAATACTCTTTAATATGCTTAGAAACGAGTAGAGAGAAAAGTTCCCATCGGCTTGGGAACGAAAGAACATCTTATCTAGTGTTATATGTCTCCCCACGCGACAGCTGCAGCGGCACCTACTGTGTGACCATGACCCGGATGGCCATTTAATTAATGAGTAATCAAATTTGTTCAAAAAGGTCTTGGGAAATACACCTGTTTACCAATAGGAAATGTATAAAAAAAGTAATGTGATCAGAATAAAAATGGAAGTGAAGTGAAACGATGAGACAATTTACGTGACTAAGAGATGAATGATGACCAACAAAAGACATTAATATAACACACTATAAGGGACAAAGTTACACACCTGGACAACCTAATTAAATCTACTCCGAGATGTGTGTATAGCTCAGTACCAAGTGGCAATGTCTGGCATCTTCTCCTGTCAACACGAGCACTTAAGGCCACACCTATTGCACGTGCACAATCCTCCACAAAGTACCTTCAACGTCACCGGGCCCGTACATTACAGTATGTGTAATTTTTAGAACACAAATAAAACGTGGAAAATTTTTATTAAAAGATGAAGAGATATTGCAAACTAAAAGAAACGCTAATACGCGATGGTTGGTGAAACAGAAAATGGAAGATAATTTACTGCACCATTGGCTATAACTGACCACGCCCGTTTGTAATGCACTTCGTAAATTAAATTAGTCTCCCGGTAATTACTGTAGTTCAATAACAAAATTATCTAACAATTAACGAAGTTTTTAAATGAAAATCCCCTCTTAATAACAAAAAGTACAGATGTCCATATTTTCCCATAATGGTAAACTATCTACATATTTACTCTTATGACCACCAAATGCCCTGCAAGTCAATAAAGAATGATAAATAAGTGAAACAAATACTGCTCAAACTTATCAATCCATCGTGCACGTGAAAAGTAAAATAAAAGGTTACACACACACACTATTATTAGTATCATTATCACCATTATTACAACTATTATCATAATTACTATTATTTCTTATTATTGTTGGGTTACTACTACGACTATTATTATTTCTACTGATATTATTCTTATTACTATTACTAATATCACTCTTATTAGTATCATTATTAAAATCAATAGTATTCGGGAATTTGTCGTGGAAACGGTAGCTAAGCAAGACAAACTTATTACAGTGAATGAATGCTGAAGAATGAAGGGTGTAATCTGTTTGTGTATTGGTCCCAGCCAAATCCATCATCAGAGTGGGAAAAGGCGTCAAAATTTTTAAATTATTATTATTATTTACTTACTGAAACTTGGCGAGATGTCGAAGGTGAAGAGCGCAAAGGTGGTGACGACAACAGCAATAACAACAGCCACCATAAGCTGCAGCGCCACCCGCCCAGACACCACACCAGCCATCCTGTTGGGTGAAAATCCTTTAGATAACACCGCGCTCTCTCACACACACACTACATCCTTGTCCACCGGTGGGTCAAGAGCTATCGGTACTCGGAAAAAATGGCACCGGAAGAAATGGCACAGGATAATATGGGACAGGTGAAAATGGTACTGGAAAAATAAGCAGTATTTTCATACTAGGAAAAAATAGCTCAACAAATTTAACTGAGAGTTCACGAACCACAAACGAGCTAAGCTACGGCGTGCATAGGTTAGATTGGGTTAGGTAATAAATTTTTTGCGAAAACATGTTAATAAAAATTAATGTGACGTTTTTTCCTAGTCTGATGATTATGCCTTTATTCGGTGCCACATTTTCCTATTGCCATTTTTTCCTGCGCCATTTTTCCCTAAATTCGAGCTATCAGACGCTGTTCCTGCTGCGGCAGCTGCCTTGGCCAAAGTTGGCCCATTCCCCAAGTCCCTCTCCTTGGCCCATCCTTACCACCGGGATATCAACATAATCCCCTTTTTGTAATGAAACCTTTGTTAAACGACCCAACTACCCTATGTCTATTTTCAGCCTTCGGACTGCTGAACTTTTCCAATAAACCTTTAATTATTATTATTTTTATTATTATTATTATTATTAGTATTAGTAGTAATAATAGTAATAGTATTAGTATTAGTAGTAGTAGTAGTAATAGTAATAGTATTAGTAGTAGTAGTGGTATTAGTATTACACACAAAATAACTAGATGAATTTATTAAATATTTGTGATAAACTTGTAAAACACGCACACAGATCAATATATAATATTGTTCTGGAGTAAAAAATGTACAATTGCCATCAAAGAATACAAGGCGAGAAAAATTAGGCTAAAGAAGCTGTTATTATTATTACTAAAGAATGTGCCTGTCATTGTTTTGTGGTCCTGAGCAGTTCCGTGTGCCGCGGTAAGAGTAAAGTCACGATACAAGTTATAGTTATTTTATAGACATATCCAGGAGACGTCACTCACCTTAACTTAAAAAAACCTTCCCACATGAACATTAATGGGAACACCTAAAGTAAACCAACTACCCGAACGTCACCTGAGGTTCAGGGTGGGTGTCATCTTTTCGAATGAAGAACTGTCTTCGAAGTCAAGGGTTAAACATGTTCAGAATGTCTACTTCTACACTGAATAACCTTTTAAAAGATGACGAAATACACGTTAAATTTCACCCTTATTCATCAAGTAGTGTTAACTCCGAGTTGTACAGTATATTAGTGTTGCTCTTGTCTCGAAGGTTAAACCACTGTTAGTATTGCATGCTGCTATGTTTTGTTCTGAACCATTCATTAAGTTTTCAGGCCGGTAATACAGTACTTTCTACTTTATAAAAGACAACAAATAAATGTAAAGACGAACAGCTCTAATAAGCTAAGGGGGATTAAGTCAGGTAAGCAGTGCGACCAAAGTGAGTCTGTATTTGTTTAATCGATATATAAATATACTGGATTTTTAAAATAAATATTCGCATCTATTTCAAGATAATTCCATAAAATAAGTTAATGGGATACGATAATTCACTTGGTGGGTTTCCGGTAACAGCGACGGTAACAAAAAAATCTGGTACTATGTTATTTTTTTCGATTGTCAAGGAGTAAAGAAAGGTAAGAGAACATGAGTTACTATGGACAATAAATCATTATATTATTATTATTATTATTATTATTACAAAGTTACCAGGTCAATGTATTATTTTCAGATTTATGCCACAGTTACCAGATCAGAAATAAACCAGGGTTTCGTCCCAGGGAAAAGATGGCCCGTGGAGCTGGTCAGCTGAATCAGTCATCAAACATCCAGTCTTAATGATCAGCATATATAGTAAAATAAATAACTGATAAACAAGTGAAGGTTACCTATAATTGTACGGGAACAACGAGTGAATTAACTGATAATTAACCTTAGTTCACCTGACATATCTATCTCATGGTCAAGGGGGAAAGTCAAGGAATTTTTTTTATCTTGGCCAGGGAATTTTTCATTTTTGATAGGGGAAATTTTTCATCTTGCACAGGGAATTCATCTTTACTCCTAACACAACCTAACCTAACTTAACACAACCTAACCTAACACAACCTCATCTAACCTAACCTAACCTCAAACTGTTATAACTTAATATTGACAATAACTGGTGTATACAGTGAACAGCTATGGCCGTGTTGTAGTTGGTGAGGTAGGTAAGATAAATTAGAGTCGTCCTAATCTTATCTGAGTGAGGAAATGAAACAAAACTGTTGTACTGTGTGTGTGTGTGTGTGTGTGTGTGTGTGTGTGTGTGTGTGTGTGTGTGTGTGTGTGTGTGTGTGTGTGTGTGTGACACCGAGAAAAGGACAATCAAACAAATTATGGGGAGACAGATAGACAATGGGAGAGGGAGAGAGACACACAGATTGCGTAGACAGAGACAGCCAGACACAAAGAAAATATACAGAAATACAGACAGACACGTATAGACAAAGTGAGGCAGACCGGTGACAGACAGAGGGGAAGCAGAGACAGACAGACATAATACGAGAGATAAAACAGACACAAGACAGACAACAGAGAAAAACATCCATAGATAGACAGACACAAAAGACGAGACAGACAGAGAGAGAGAGACAGACAGAGAGAGAGAGACAGACAGAGAGAGAGAGAGAGAGGCGGAATCAATACCCTCGCAACCGACAGCAGCCAACCCCACTACAGCGACTCTTCTCACACACCACTACACCACACCTGCTACACCACTACACCACACCTGCTACACCACTACACCACACCTACTACACCATTACACCACACCTGCTACACCACTACACCACACCTACTACACCATTACACCACACCTGCTACACCACTACACCACACCTACTACACCATTACACACCTGCTACACCATTACACCACACCTGCTACACCACTACACCACACCTACTACACCTACACCATTACACCACACCTGCTACACCTACACCACACCTACTACACCATTACACCACACCTGCTACACCACTACACCACACCTACTACACCATTACACCACACCTGCTACACCACTACACCACACCTACTACACCATTACACCACACCTGCTACACCACACCTACTAAACCATTACACCACACCTGCTACACCACTACACCACACCTGCTACACCACTACACCACACTTGCTACACCACTACACCACACCTGCTACACCAGTCACCACACCACACCTCTTACACTACACCACACCTGCTACACCACTACACCACACCTGCTACACTACTACACCACTTGCCACACCACCACACCACACCTGCTACACCACACCTGCTACACCACACCACTACCACACCACACCTGCTATACCACACCACACCTGCTACACCACTACACCACACCTACACCAGTCACCACTCCACACCTGCTACACCAGTCACCACACCACACCTGCTATACCAGTCACCACCTACACAGTCACCACTCCACACCTGCTACACCAGTCACCACACCACACCTGCTAGTACCAGTCACCACACCTGCTATACCGGTCACCACACCTGCTACACCAGTCACCACACCTGCTACAACATTATACCACACCTGCTACACCACTACAGTCACCACACCTGCTACACCAGTCACCACATCTGCTACACCAGTCACCACATCTGCTACACCAGTCACCACACCTGCTACACCACAAACCACACCAGCTACACTACAAACTATACCTGCTACACCACAACATGTTACACCACTACTATAGATCTCACCTAACACTACACACCTACTACACAACTAAACCACGCCAACAACACACCTGCGACACAGCACACCTGCTACAACATTAATCCATGCTTGTAACACACCAGCAACACAATACACCTGCTACAACTGGTACACTTGAGTGTCATATATGCGTTACGGGACTTCTCTACCTGGATCCGGGAGAACCCATTATGTAACGTGGCAGACATCCATTTACGGATTTTGTTCTCGGTACTCCAATTAAATCTGAATTTATGTTATCCAAATACATGAACACACACACATGGACTGTATTTCAGGTTACAGTTAATAGTGTGGAAGCTGTACGACATTCCATGACAGGAGGGCGCGGGCGGCCAGATGTCCCCCACTGCCTGGCGTACAACCTCGCATCCGGACAAGGACACGGTTCATACAGCTTCCGGTTTATGGTATTTCTCAATATTGTGGCTCTTTTTACATTGAATGAACAAATTTTATATGTGTGCAAAGATATATATATATATATATATATATATATATATATATAACCTTTCTATTATTAGGTGTTTACTTATAGGGGAAAAGTGTCAAGAAAACTCGCGGGGAGGACCACCCTACGCTTCGACATATACATGTTGTTGTCTGTGTTTTTCCGTTATTCATTTTTCAACACTAATTTCCTGCTGATGTATTGAAGATGTTTGTGATCCCATATACTCCACGTCGTTCACTTTTTTTTTCTTGCAAGAGGATGGTAGAAGTGTGTATTAATGGTGTGGTGTGGAAAAGGTGGAGTTGGCTCGCGGTGTTGAGGTTCGTCCTACTCCTTAAGCTGGTATTTCACGCCCCTTGTGTTGTACAGGGAGACAGTATGTATATGTGTGTGTGTGGAGGGGACGGGGGTGGGGGTTATAGCAGCTTCTGGGTACATACGTCCTTTCCCAACATCTACAATAGGGCTTTCAGACAAGGGTCATGTAACGATCTTAAAGGTTTCTGTGTAAGATCAACATTCCTCGCAATTTTAAAACTAACACTTGACCTACCTGACCGACTCAAGCTGAAGCATAATAAAAACGTCTATTTTGTCATCAAAATATAATGGGGTGAATTTAATGATAATCTGGACTCAACTTATGTTGTCATCCACTGTAAGCCAAGACCAGCAGCGTGTGTAAACTGTACTGAATACGGATCACCTGAAGATTGGACCTCCTCTAGTTTATTTCACCCGGATTATAACCACCCAAACGCTAATTTAACCCAACCTACCATAACCTAACTTATCCATAACCTAACCTACCATAACCTAATCTACCATAACCTAATCTACCATAACCAAACCTACTATAACCTAACCTAATTTATCCATAACCTAACCTAACTTAACTCATCAGACAGCGTAAAGGTATGTAATTAATAATCAGTTGGCATAACCTAGGAGACACTTATCTTTATTACGCCCAGGACACTTCATTTACAAGGAGCTGTACGTCTGAATATAAAACAGCAACACAGCCGTTACCAACACCCTTCCTCCGAACCAAATATTCCTCGTCCTCCAGACAGGCTCCGGCTGGCACTTGACTTATTAGGGGCTTGTCACGCTTTGCCATAAGCTGGTGTATTGTATCGGGAACCCCCCCCCCCCACACACACTCATCCTGTCACTATATGTAACTTGTCGACATAATCCATGGCCCTTAAATGCATGAGTTAAGAAGACGAGCATGAACTCCGCATTCTTCCCTGTTGGGCGCTGTAAACATTTTTGCACTTCGTCTTGTACAGGATGCAAGGGGGTGCCCAATAAACTAGCCCCTCGCTGGGCAAATCTAAAAAAAATAAATAAGCAACGGCAGGAGGTATGTACATGAGTATAATGAGACATACAATGAGAAGATTACAATATAGGAAGTATAGAGAGTAGGAATGTAAAGATAAGAAGAGTCTGGTAGCGTGGCCGCTTGGGTGTTATTTACTCAGCGTCAACACGCTTAAGAACATAAGAACATAAGAAAATAAGGAGTCTGCAACAGGCCGGTTGGCCTGTGCATGGCAGCTCCTGTCGAGAGTTACTACCACTCTCTATCATCCATGAATCTATCTAGCCTCCTTTTGAAACTTTCCAGAGTTCCAGCACTTACTACAAAGTTGCTAAGCTTGTTCCACTCGTCCACCACCCTATTTGTGAACCAGTTTCTTCCTATCTCCCTCCTAAACCTAAACTTATCCAACTTTCTTTAACCTATCCTGATGTGGAAGGTTTCTAAGTCCCAGAATCATTTTCGTCATTCTTCGCTGCACGGACTCTAATGAATTTATATCCATTCTATAATAAGGGCACCAGAACTGAACCGGGGTACTAACACATTATGCTTTACGTTACTCGACACTGACTCTCGGACACATTATGAATGAAACACTTCCCACATTAAGTAACTCACCCTAGAGATTGCTCTGACAATGACATAAGAACATAAGAACATAAGGATGGAGGAAACTGCAGCGGGCCTATTGGCCCATACTGGGCAGTCCCGTTTACACCCAACCCCTATTGCTCATATAAGCATCCAACCTATGTTTGAAGCTATTCATCGTATTCGAGTTAATGATGATATTTGGTAACTTGTTCCATTCATCCACTACTCTGTTTCCAAACCAGTGTTCACCTATTTCGCGCCTAAATCTAAATTTGTCTAATTTAAAACCATTGTTACGAGTTCGCTCCTGGTTGGATAGTTTGAGTACCTTTGTAATGTCCACTTTGTTTAGCCCTGACTTCCATTTATACACCTCTATCAGGTCGCCCCTCGCTCTACGTCTCTCTCACGTGACTCACCTGTACACCTGACGTAGGCCCAGTGGGTGTTGGCTGGGCTCTCGTATGCGGGACTGCTTAGCTGGGGGCGTCGTGAAGTCTCCCCCCCGACCTGGTGGGAGGGGTCGAGCGTGACTCTGTGCGAGTGGACAGACTGACCTCTTAATGACCAACGTCTCTGAATGATGCCGTATCAGAATCAACGTGGACGGGTTTGTAGGGCCTTTATATGGGGTCGGCCCAGCCGGCTTTTAACCTCTAACCAATGATCACTAAACTGGTTAGATCTGGACAGCGTGTTCAGGTGTGGTCATGCCCAGGTGTCTTGGTCAGGTGAGGTCACCCGCAAATTCAAGTAATTAGCCGGCGAGGTCACGTCCCTAGGGTCTTGGGGTGTGTCAACCTGGTAGGTGGTGGTACCACGAGGTCTGTAGTGTACTTAAGAACATAAGAACGTAAGAATGGAGGAAACTGCAGCGGGCCTATTGGCACATACTGGGCAGTCCCGTTTACACCCAACACCCTATTGCTCATATAAGCATCCAACCTATGTTTGAAGCTATTCAGCGTATTCGAGTTAATGATGATATTTGGTAACTTGTTCCATTCATCCACTGCTCTGTTTCCAAACCAGTGTTTACCTATTTCACGCCTAAATCTAAATTTATCTAATTTAAAACCATTGTTACGAGTTCGCTCCTGGTTGGATAGTTTGAGTACCTTTGTAATGTCCCCTTTGTTTAGCCCTGCCTTCCACTTATACACCTCTATCAGGTCGCCCCTCGCTCTACGTCTCTCGAGGGAGTGCAAATTAAGATGCTTTAGCCTGTCTCTATACTCAAGGTTCCTAATGCCCGGGATTAGTCTTGTCATTCTCCTCTGAATTCTTTCCAAGGATTCTATATCCATTCTGTAATAAGGTGACCAGAACTGAACTGCGTAGTCCAGGTGTGGTCTCACAAGAGCAAGATACAGTTTTAGGATGACCTCGCTAGTCTTGTAACTAACACTCCTTTGTATAAACCCAAGTACTTTATTAGCCTTGTTACGAGCAAAAACACATTGTTTACTTGGTTTAAGGTTCCTACTTATCATTACTCCTAAATCTCTCTCGCAGTCGGATTTCTCTAAGGCATCGTTGTTCATCTGGTATCTGGTTTCCCTGTTTACATCTCCTATACTGAGTACTTTACATTTGTCGACGTTGAATTTCATCTGCCATTTTTCAGACCATTCGAAAATTTTTTTTAGATCTTCCTGTAGTTTTGCCGAGTCCTCGTCAGATTTAATAACACGCCCTATTTTAGTGTCATCAGCAAATTTACTTATGTTGCTGTCTATGCCGATATCTATGTCGTTTATGTATATAATAAATAATAATGGTCCAAGTACTGAGCCTTGGGGAACTCCACTTGTGACGTTGCTCCAATGGGACCTAGTGCAGTTAATGCTCACTCGCTGTTTCCTGTCCTGTAACCACGCCCTAATCCATTTAAGGATGTCACCTTTGATGCCATGTGCTTCTGCCTTTCTAATTAGTCTTTCGTGAGGGACTCTGTCGAAGGCTTTGTTAAAGTCGAGATATACCACATCATAATTGTGCCCCTCGTCCACCGATTCGAAAACTGATGAAAAGAATGTTAATAGATTAGTTATATGCTGTTATATGTGATGTAATTCTGGGCTGTGAGCTTTGGTCTGATATTCAATCATTACATGAGGGGCGACAGGAGGTATATACATGAGGGAGGGCGACAGGAGGTATATACATGAGGGAGGGCGACAGGAGGTATATACATAGGTATATACATGAGGGAGGGCGACAGGAGGTATATACATGAGGGAGGGCGACAGGAGGTATATACATGAGGGAGGGCGACAGGAGGTATATACATGAGGGAGGGCGACAGGAGGTATATACATGAGTGGAGAGGTATATACATGAGGGAGGGCGACAGGAGGTATATACATGAGGGAGGGCGACAGGAGGTATATACATGGAGGAGGGCGACAGGAGGTATATACATGAGGGAGGGCGACAGGAGGTATATACATGAGGGAGGGCGACAGGAGGTATATACATGAGGGAGGGCGACAGGAGGTATAATACACACAGTACATTAGGAGGGACAAGAGGTTAGTGGCGAGACATGATACCCGGAGGGGTTATTATTGCCAACTCCAGAGTTCTATCGTAAAAAAAAGAATCATTGAGGGAGAGTTGGTAGCCCTGTCTCCAGTCACCAAGCAAAGTATATAAGAATCATTTTATATATATATATATATATATATATATATATATATATATATATATATATATATATATATATATATATATATATATATATATATATGCAAGTAAATCACTGTAGATGCGCGTGGTCCAGGTATATGCTGATAACCACAAGGAAAGAAGAAAACACGAAGTTTCCAAGCTCCAATGACATTATCCATCACGTGACCTTGTCCTTGAGACTTAACTGTTGTTACTTGGTATACAGGATGAGACTAGGCTTTAATTCAGAATACAAGAGAATGAGGGAGGAAGCAAGGAGCATCAATCTCTGCCATAACTTGTTGTATTATAAGGATATTAATTCTCTCTGGGGAAAAAATCAGAGTAACGTGAAACAATTGATAAAAAAAAACACACATACCCAAGTTGAAGTAAAAATTTCAAGCGTTTCAAAGATGAGTAACCATGTAAACAAGTTTTTCTTACCGGACTTTATACTCGGCGCAGCTTAAAGGTTAACTATCTAAGCTGTTATCAATACTAAACACTTTTCTCTGGTGTGTCTGTATTCGTGTTTGTTTCTCTCTTGTCTAGTCTGTGCCTGTTGACTCACTCTACACTATTTCTGTCTCACAATCTCTCTTAAATCTGTACACTAATGAGTCGGGGTTCTGACCTCACTAGGGGAAAGGTCACGGCAGGGTTAGCTCCCGAGGGATAATTATCAGATATGGCCAGTGCTATGTGCGGTCTTGGGTATGTGAGTTTGTTGACCAAACTGGAGTGGTCCATGGAAGAATTGGCGAGGGCCAAGGAAGAAATTGAGAGGGTCACGTTGGAGAACCTGAAATTAAAGGAAGAGCTGGCGAGGTTAAAAGGGGAGCCAGTGTCTGACGAAAACTCAAGCGAGTGGAAGGTTGTGAGTAGTGGGAAGACGAAGCTGGTGGTGAAGAAGTACACCAAGGAAACGACAACAACGACAACAACAGCTAAGTGTACCAACCCGTTCAGTCCCTTGATAGACGAATTGGACGTTAGTACAGTTAGGGATAGGGATGACAAGGAAGGTATAAAAACTTTAATTGTTGGTGACTCACAGGTAAGGTACATGGACAGGGCCTTTTGTGGTAAAAACAAAAATAGGATGAGGGTGTGTTTGCCAGGAGCTGGGGTGGGGGATATAATTGACAGGATGGACAATATCTTGTCTGGTAATGGGAATAAACCCATTATCTGCCTCAGTGCAGGAGGCAATGATATTGGCCGGTGTAGGAGCGAGGAGCTTCTTGATAAGTTCAAGGCAGCTATAGATCGTATTAGGTCTAAGGGAGGGATCCCTATCATATGCGGTGTCCTGCCTAGAAGAAGAGTTGGCAGTGAATGGTTGTCAAGGGCGGTTGGTGTCAACGACCGTCTTGACAGATATTGCAAGTCAATATCAGTCCCATTCATTGACAACTGGGACAACTTCTACGACAGAAGGGACCTTTATGCTAGGGATGGGGTGCACCTGTCTCGGGATGGGGTGGCAACCCTGGCTGAGTCTCTAGAGGGGGCAGTTCAAAGGATATCGAAGTCTTTAAACTGCTAGGGGAACATATGGGCACGGTGGTGGGCGAAACTGCAGTGGGAGGGGGGTAAACAAAGTAAAAGATTACAGGGAAATAGTGTTAGGAATGATGACAAAACTAAATTAAACAGGGAGTTTAAAACTAAACGCGGTAAAGGGAGGACTCTGAACACGACTAACTTAAATGTCTACTACGCGAACAGTAGAAGTATGAGAAACAAAATGGATGATATTAGGGCCTTGGTATGTACCGAAAAAAGCGATATAATAGCATTCACTGAAACATGGATCAACCTAGACTCACGTGAGTTGCCGGTCGAATAACAAATTGCGGGTTACAAATTGTTCCATACCGATAGGCAAACCAGGAAAGGAGGCGGAGTAGCAATCTATGTTTGGGATAATCTGAAGTGTGAAATAAATAAGAAAATAAAAACTGAGCGGAATATAGAAACAATTTGGATAGAATTAAGCGACGGTAGGGAAAAATTAATCACAGGAGTAATATATAGACTCCCAATCTTGATAGAGTCAATGAGCGACTTATCTGGGATGAAATGCGCAGGGCTTCCATACACAACAAAGTCTGTATAGTAGGTGACTTTAACCTTGGCCAAATAGATTGGACTGACCTTACGGGTAACTCAGAATCAGAGGATTTTCTCGAGACGATCCAGGGCTGTTTCCTAAGTCAACATATAACCGAACCCACACGGGGTAATAATATACTCGATTTAGTTCTGTCGAACAGAGAAAACCTCATTAGCAATGTCGAGGTAGGGAACGAACTTGCAAACAGCGATCACAAAGAAATTCGATTCCAGTTAGATTTTCAGGGCAGACGTAAGGAAAATTCCACTAAAGTACCAGATTTCAGAAGGGCAAACTTTGACAGTTTAAAGAGGCAGCTGAGAGAGGGGGTGTCGCGCTTGGCAGTGAACCTGACAGATGACTCAGACCTGATAATGACATCTGAGACTGCTGAGTTTCACGTCAATTTAAATAATGAGTTACTTAATGCACAGAGGCAGAACATACCATACAAAAAACTCAGATCAGACAACAATGACCCTAAATGGATAAATAATTATTTAAAGAACATCATTGGCCAAAGGAAGGCTATAGGTAGAAGGATAAAGCGTGGCGAAATTTACCTCCAGGATTATTATAAGATATTGGTGAGTAGGGTTAAAACCGAAATAAGGAAAGCCAAGAGGAATAATGAGGTAAGGATAGCAAGGGAGGCGAAGACAAACCCCAAAGGATTCTACCAAATGTATCAAACTAAAACACGAGAAAAGATTGG